TACTGTCCGATTGTTCCTGCCTAATCGCATCACTGAACATAACTGTGATCCATACAACGCCCACACACACTTCGTTGAACAGTCTACGCCACTGCTTGTAACTGCTTGCTATCCTTTATCAAATTGTGCGGTAAAATCTCCTATAACAAGGTGCTAGAGCAACGTTGTATTTCGTCGTATCGTTGCTTCAACATCAAAACTTCTCGTCTTGCTCATTTTTTGCCTATGTAGGTGCTGGATTTTAAAATCAAATTTAACTCTCTATTTCCAAGACTTACGTGACCGTTGCTGTCAAACAGGATATTTTTTAACTTATTTCAGTTTTCAAAATATTTGCATCACTTTGTTGTTCCTTCGTCCAGACCTAAAAATCAGTATCTTTTTGTGATATCGCCATATTTTACATTTTCGTTTTGCTTTTCCATGTTTTACTACAAACACAAAATATGCCAGTCTCTAAGTACTGCCTTTAAATATAAAGTACCTGTTACTCACACTAATATAGCTCGTTTAACGTTTTTTCACTCGAGCTATTCTTTCCTGAATTTTAATCTTCTAATCTCTGGACTAGCCTAGTTAGAATCTGTTCAAAGAGGGCGATTTCGGTTTACAATTGAAAACGCATAAACAATTAGCGGTATTTACGCTGCAAGTTGAAAATTAATTAAGATTAATTATTTACATTATACAAAATATGATGTAAAAAATAAAATACTAGCAATGCCACTGAAAAAACCGAAATCTATTGCGTTCGTCGGGGGAGACGTGGATGGAGAAAAAAGTATTTTTATTGTTTTTCTATGTCCTGCTGTTTCTTCCGTACTTGTGTTACTAATTATGTGCTACCTTATGATCACCATTTATTCCGAAAGTTTCTTATGTATGTTATAGGTTGCAAGCATATCGAATCAAACCCTGCACACAGCAAGCGCTTATCTGAAAGAACTAGCGGAAGATCACAAGTCAGAGGAGCACCCGGATCGAAATCCAGATAATTACGATCGGTTATGGCCACCTGATTCCCCCTCTCACGCCAACGTGAGAGGGGGAGTATCAAAACATTTTCAGGATACTGAAAATTCTGAAGGTACATTTCATTTTGCACACTTTTTTGTGCAAATGCAAAGACACGTATTGATGAGAGGTCGTCGATCTGTGTGTGTGTGTGTGT